ACACACACACACACACACACACACACACACACACACACACACACACAATTATCATTTGATGGCTTAGGAGCTTCAGGATCAAATGCACATTCATTCCATCTAATTTGATTTAAACATGAACGAAGAAACAAACACAAATGTGAAACCCACCTGTAAGAATAGTCTGGAAAGCCAGCTCCACATTAGACGAGTCCAACGCTGACGTCTCCAGGAAGGACAAGCCGTGCTTCTCTGTAACACACACACACACGCACAAAATGTGCTTTATGTTTAACTTTCATAACTCCTCTGAGCTGAGGTGTGTTGTTGTGTTGTACTGGCATTACCACTGCACTGATCCAGGGATTGATTTCTTCTACATAATGCACTCACTCCAGGGTTCCCCCTAGAAGGGGAGTCATTTCAGCTGCTTCCTGTTTGATCGCTCACGGTGAACTGCTTTGTACTTATAGAGAGATCTAATGGGTTGTGTGACAGCTGACTGGTCTGCTATTTATTTACAACGTGATCAAATACAATGACGTTACTCACAAAGACAGAATAAAGAATATAATGCAAATGCTTTGTAAGCAAAGTCTGTTGGGATACAACTGCTATTAAAAAAAGGTTATGCTGCTGTATTACATAGTGTACATATCGACTAAGGCACGATCAATCTGTATTCAAATAAGGAATTAATGGTTTACTCTATTATTGTAACTATTTTCCTCATGTGTCCTAATGAGCCAGGACCTTGAAAACTAAGCAGCTTGATGGAATTCAGCCATCATTCATTTTATCATTCATATCATTATCGTTTCTTAACGTGAAAAATGTCAAAACGTCTTCCATTAAAAAGGTCTATAATAAACAGTGAAGGACAGATTCTTATCAAAAAGTAATAAACTATGTTTTTTTTTTTAATGCTTACTTGGTCTGATCAACAACCAGAAAACTAAAATATAAGTCATGGAACTAAGAAACATGTCTCATTTCTTGGCTATCTATACATTGTGATATCCAAGTACAAAGGAGAACAGTTACTACTATCCTACATGGAGGGATCATGTCCTCACAGTGGCGTGAGTGAGACATGAGACTGGTCCACTGTCGCTGTTCACTTCACTCGTGGCCTTACGACACACTTTGCATGGACGTGTCCACCACCGCGGTCTTTATGTAAACTAGGCTTCATAAATTACGTTTGTGGAACAGAAAAACAAAATCAGTAAATTCAGAACGCACCGAGAGGCACAGACAATATTTAACCAGCAACGAAAATTATTCTTTTCACTCCAATACGAATCAACAGGGCGTCCTACCGAGAGTGATTTAACAGTCAAAAGAGGTACAACGCTGACTCGGACCCGAGCCAATAAACTCAAGGTCAGGAGAAAACATGTGGCCCAACTAATCTAAAATAACAGTGTGCGAGAGTCAAAAGGGTGACACAATTGTACCGCAAGTCTGACCGTAACAAACAGACCTGCTCTGAAACAAAGCCTTGAGATTCTCAGAGGTGTGAGATAAACGGAAGTTGAATTAATCTAAATCTAAAGTACTTTTGACCTCGAGCTGTGCTTGCTTTTATATACTCGCAGTCAAGGACATTTGGGGTAAAATGCCGTACGTTGTGCAAACATTTCTAACATAGGTGTTCCCAGTGGTAATGAGCGCACAACACGTATGTTATAAACACTTAAGAGTAATTAAAGCAGCTAGGGTTCAGCTCAGTCCATCTAGGCTCATTATCATAACTTTAACCTGGTGATTATCTGTCTGTGCTCTCTCACACACACACACACACACACACACACACACACACACACACACACTACCTGCCAAGGCCTTGGCCTCATCCGTTGGCACCGCCCTGAGGTGGCGTAGATCACTTTTGTTGCCCACTAGCATGATGACTATGTTGCTGTCTGCGTGGTCCTGCAGCTCCTTCAGCCAGCGCTCAGCATTTTCGTAAGTCAAGTGCTTGGCGATGTCGTAAACCAAGAGGGCTCCGACTGCTCCGCGGTAGTACCTGGACAACACAAGAGGAGGCGGACATGAAATAAATGAAGAGCAGAAAACTCGTTCTTGCCGCAGCCTGTTGATTTCAGGATTCTTGGCGGGTGTGTCACACGGGCTCGGCCAGCTTTGAAGCTGAGAAACACCAGAAATAAAACAGTAAATGCTCCCAAAAAAACACACTGTACACAAAGCTCATAAGACAAGTGAACATTGGCTGACATTACTTATTTTTTGGTTACGCCATTGAGGCAGACTACTAAAAAAGACAAATGTTGGGACGGGAACTTGATCGAGAGACGAGGAGGAAGCTGTGATTAACGAAACGCTTCCTGCCCTGAGGCAAAAGGCTGCATTTTGTAGTATTAATCACTTCAGAGATCCTTCTAACTATTTTAGGAATGATGATTCTAAACTGAATTTGTGGAGGGAAGATGACTCTTGGTTGGACGTTTACAACCCTTAACCTACAACCCCAGACGTTCATAATGCAGTGAAACGTCATGCGACTGTGAAAAAAAAAAAAAAATGTCCCAATGCACATGCATGAGGAAGCAGAAGAGGCCCTTATAGGTTCCTGTGCTTAGTATCTATATCAACATGCTTATTTGAGCCGCTGCATGTGGAGCTGTGTGTCTGCATGTATGCTGGACATAATTAAAAGACCCATTATTTTCTTCAAGAGAGCATGTACTTGCGTGAAGTGGTTTATTATCACTGCTTATGTGTGGAAGTGAAAGCCTGTGACAACAGACACCATAACAGCGTAATGGAGCTCTAGCAAAAGGCTTCAATGATTACTGTACTCACGCAGAAGTGATGGCTCGGTATCGCTCCTGACCAGCTGTGTCCCAGATCTGAGCCTTGACGGTCTTGCCCTCTACCTGGATGCTGCGTGTGGCAAACTCCACCCCGATGGTGCTCTTGCTCTCCAGGTTGAACTCATTTCGGGTGAAGCGGGACAGCAGGTTACTTTTCCCGACACCCGAATCTCCAATCAGCACCACTGCAGGGGAAAGAAAAGGGGGATTTGGAACAATCATCATCAGTTATAAGGTTTATTGTAGACTCTAGAAGAAGTTACACAGAACAAGATGGGTTGACTTTTTTCTAAATCAAATTTGACTATCAGTATTATTAGTTGCGCTGCTCCATCAATGACGCATGTGTGTGGCTCCCAGCCGAAGTGGAGCAGAAACTCCGGGCACGCCCACTGAGCATACAAAATACTGGAACCATCTGATATTTTCAGGAAACACCCGCAGACTGAGAACAGGTGAAACCAGTGATTCACTGCAGTTTCACCTGCCAAATGTACTTCAGCCATAACAGTATTTGACTGTAAATACATTTAATGTTTTTAAATCATCAAGAGAACTGAGACAGATCATACCGCATGGTAACTTCAATTGATTTGTTGTCCTGTTTTAAAGACTTATAATCTAAAATAAATCTAAAATGTTCAGACAACGCCTTAAACTGAGCACTCGCTATGGAGCCGAAACTCTGCTGAAGTTTGTGCAAATGCCAAGCACTTCCCCCAAATTACTTTAGCTTTGGGGCCACCATTCACACTTCCCAAACAAAGCATACAAATCTATTAAATCTAACATAAGCTACACTTGTAAAAAAAGGCCCTGCTTTGGTTTAGATACAAACATCAGCAGGATTTTTACTGACATGGCGTGAGAGCGGTAAATGACTATATTTACAATGTGGAGCTTTTCCTTTAATGCTTCGTGTGTAATCACAACAATAAAAACAGGAGCTTAGATGCTGCGTTTCCTCCACTGGACGCCCTCTTAAAAAGTACTTTAAAAAGGCGTTATTAGGGCGAGTGTTTATCAGAAAACTACTTCTACAATTGTCAGGTGAGTCAGTGTGTCAAAAGGAACCAACCACACCAGCGCACCACCGGCACACCACCCTACTATTATGAAATAGGAAATTGTTATGGAATGTTGAAACTGCATTAACAAACCGACCACAGTGTCTACACTTGCGTTTAAGCAATACTGCTCATTCTAAAGGGAAACTGTATCAAAATGTGTCTGTGGTACTACAGTATGGTGTAACAGGCACGAGTAGAAACCCGTTCTGACTTATTTAGACTTTGAAATAATACAAATATGGGGCACCTGTGAGGACCTCACATACCAGCAGTGTGGCTCTCCTACATGCCTGATAAAAAGGGTAACATTGTCATTCTCCATATCGCCAAAGACAAAAGATCTTGGGTGGAGGACAAAAACCATCATGCAAATCATGTCAAAGTGCTCTGCCACGAGACGCCTAATATCATGGCTGCATTACACGCCCATTCACTATTGTTGGGTTTGCATTCTTCAGGTAAAAAGACATATGACACCTCTCTATTACATTACACAACACTACACCCAGGGATCTGGTCCAGCCTGTGACTGTCCAGAGGTACGGCAGAAAAATAAAGAATGGAACTAAGTAATACTGAGAATCTGAGTCAGTGTCTCGGTCTGTTCAGTCAGATTCATTGATATCTCCTGAATCCCTGTGAATGGAATAACAGATAACCATCACATCCTCTCCATTGATGTGGAATTAAATCCGTGCATAATGCTGGCAATCGTCAAGAGACCCTTTTAGATTTAAAACATTTAAAATATACATATTGTATATCCACTAAAATAAGCAGATGGCCTTAACATAATATAATCAGTTGGGCAGTGAAATGTGCCTTTAAATCCAAAAATATGCTTTGTGAGAAAAAAAAACTGCATTGAAGCAGTTTGTATGAATTGTTTTTACAACAAATACCCAATATTAAGGCTCATACACATCACTAAAATGAACATGAGACAGGTATGCTTCAGCAAGATGACTACCTGCACTGATGTCTCTCCATCAGTCGGGTTTATGTGACTCACTGACGCCTCACCCAACTTGACTCGGGCTTTCTAACAGCAAGGCACAAAAGGAGGTTGTAGGAACAAAAGGAGAGTCATGACAATAAGGTTGAGCTCTTTCCTGGTTCGAGCAGACAACGGAGAAGGCGGCCGATACCTTATCAGTGTCCTTGCACCGCCGCTGCACGATTCAGACAAATTTGCCATTTGGTCACCAAGAGCCATGTCACTTTATCAGAGAGAGAGTGAGTGAGTAAGTACGTAAATCTCGTCTTCTCTATGCTCAGGGACACTGTGGCCACACACACACACACACACACACAAGTACACACACTTCATGCAGGTATTTCCAGTTTGACAACACATGCTTGTTTGGTGTTCTATAATTGAACAGACCATGAGCACTTCATTTCCGCTTCGCTTGTGACAAGATTCAACTATGAACTACTTTTTTTTTGTACTAGGTAGCCATTAAAGGAACAATCACTCTCCACCCCCAGTATACATTAGTATATATTGATATCTATGAATGAGGTTTATGATGTTTGCTGGACCATATATTGAGAAATGTTAAATATTAAAGTTAAGGTGGTGGAACAATTGGATGTTAGTGACAAAAGAAGAGATGTTTTTTTGCCAAAGTAGATTCAAACTGCAGGTACACCATGGAGTCCTCAGGTACAAAACTAAAGAACCCAAACTCCATGTATTCTCCAGGTATGGATGGAGGTTGTTTGGATTTGTTGACCTGCCACATATTATGACCCCCCCCTATTGATCAACATCGCATCCCCCCAAAACATGATTGCATCATCGGCCTGCAAGATGAAGACTCTACTGCAGATGCTGCTTTAAACATAAAGAGTACTTATAAACTGCCTTTATGAGCTGTAGCGCCTATGTCGAAAGAATACGTCTTCAGTAATAGTTGCTGCGAACAGCAGGTGCCTTTGTCTTCAATGTCGCGCGACACCTTGTCGTTAGGCACGCGGGTCAACACCTTTAACAAGTCGGCATCAAATGACTCGCAGGTGAACGGCTTGGTGTCGAAGTTGAGCTAACTAGCTTAGAACACAAACAGCTACTCACCTTTAAAAAGATAGTCATACTCGTCTTCTCGGTTGGTCATAGCTTCTCTTCTTCGGCGTCTCTCTACGTATTTAACTCGAAGTCGGAACACAAAACTTAATGGTGTATTTCAACTACTACTTCGTGTGCGTACGTTAACGTTAGTTAGCCTCACGCGGAAGACGGTAAAGTCTCACTCAAACGACTAGTAACGCTAAAAAATAATAATGACAAATGTCAAAAGAATGTGACACTGCTGCTTGTTATCAAGCATAAAAACATCCAACGGCAACTGGTAGCTGAAAAAGTTTCGCCTCGTCTGTCTCGCCCTCTGTCACTTGCCATTACCGAGGCTGCGACGTAACGTCAGTTTCTTTTGTCCCGCCCCTGCCTCGCCTCCTACTGGTCAACAGCTGATGGACACCTGTCACTGAGGTCGACTGTGATTGGTCCGCTCCGCCGTCGGTTATTAGTTGTGCCGCTGTGATGACGTATGCGGTCCCCAAGCCTTAAAACAGGTAACGTCGAGCCGCAGGTTAATTAATAAGCAAAGCAAAGCCCAGCTGGTAAAACAAGTGGTATGACAAATACCTCACTGCAGCGCGTGTCGCAGCAGCCTAGTACAGTACACAAATACAGTGGTAATACAGCAAGCAATGGAGCTGATCAGAGAGACAAAAGAAGACACACTGAGTATATCAACCCTATTGTTCTGTTTGGGGGTCCATGGAGACACTGGGCCCAGTTTAATAACTCAAAAATACATTTAACAGAGTTTTATTAGCTTTGATACTTTATTACTTTTCCTTAAATCTATGAGACTTGCTTATAAACATGATTTTGAACTGACTCATGTTGTTGTATGCTGTGTAAAATTGGTCTATGCATTAGTTCTCTCAAGTAAAACATGGTCAAATACACTGTAAGTGCTCTATATCTGTTGATTTGTTTTTCACAGCACCAGTCAGCCCAAATCCATACATAAACCCAACAAATATTGAACAGTACGCAATAATGCAGAGCTACAATGATCCGATGAATCGATGCATCACTGAAAAATGAGTCTGCAACTATTTTGATATTCAAATAATCGTTTTAGATATGTTTTTAAATAACAGCAAAATGCCATTTCTACATAGTTCCAGAGGTTCCTGAGGATGTGATGGTTCTTTTTGACATACATGAGTAAACTTATTGGGTTTTGGACTTTTGGTCAGACAAAATAAAATATTTTTAAACGTTTTCACGTTATTGACCTATTATTAATAAAAACAGGTTATTGACAAAATAATCCTCGGCCTATAGCCATAGTGAAAATGATTGTGAGTTGCAGCCCTGAAAACATGAAGTATTCCTTTATTTGGTGGAATAACAGTGTCCCATTCACTTATTTAGGGAGCACAATACCAGGGTCCTGGCCCATCTAAATGGAATAGGGCCATAGTTAATGTTATCAATTACACCTGTAAGCCTGCAATGACATGTCAAAATGGCTGCTGTGAAAAGGGCCTATACATTGAGGTCTATGGACGCCTAACAGTGAGGAAGTAAAGACAATGTCAACACAAAACAGGTTTATCAAATTGCCCTTTTTCTTCTCCTCTTTCTATGCAAACAGTAACTTTACACTGACGTTCCTAAGACAACATTGTGTGCCAACATAAAATAAAGGTTTTATCATTTCAAGTTGAAATAGTGTTTATTTATTTGACAAGTAAGACTTTATTGAGACAATGGAATTCATGACATTTAAAGCTATAAATGCAGACTTCAGTCATTCAAGGTATCCAGATGGATACTAAAAGTGACATTAAATACACTGGAATTTGGATTTGGTGCTTCCCAAACATTAAAATCAGGTTGACCATGTATAAGATATTACTGTTTTCTCACTACCAACAGCACAAAACACAAGCTTAAAATAAACTATTGGGCATTAATATAAGAATCTAAGATGATCCTGAAATGTGGGATATAAATGCATATTAAACTAATGTACTGTATCTATTATCAAGATAAACAATTATATGTATACATTGACTATGGAGTAAAAAGGGAATAATAATTCATAGTCACAGTAATTGTATATATTATTGGACAATTGAACTCTTGGCAGAAAGGGAAAGTCCCTGAAACAGCTTGCAGTCAGTGTGTCAACTCATCAATAAAACGAGACGTCACACAGGTTTTACAGTGTTTATTTATTGTGCTCAGAGAGGAACTTTTTTTTAATCATATCAGACACGGATAACACTGACCGTCTGACACCTTGTGTTTGATAAAAGGCCACATTATATTTGTCAAAGACTTGTTTTCACCGTCTCTCTTATCAGGCTAATCCACTAATTCCCCATAAAACTGTCGGCTGGTTTGGTTTCGCTGTTATCAAATTTGCAGCAGGAAGGAAAATACATTTCTACCATATCTCCCAGGCCTAATAAAGAGGTCTGTGCACTCATTCACTACGTACATCATCATTCTGATAGGGTTTCGCCAGCTTTAATTGGGCCAGTTAATCATCGCAGCACAGTCAGAAGAAAAATGAATTTAACGCTTGAAAGGGTTGCTCACCCCTGACCTATTCTGTCGAAAGGAGACGCTGTATGTCTAAAAGATATTTTTTTGTTTCCACATCTTTGCGTCTTCAGCGTTTTTAGACCTCATTATGGAGTTCCTGCAAGGTTAAGAACCTCTGCTGCAGCCAAGCGTTTGATGTGAAACAGTTTGAGAGAGGATTGGATCAGAAACACAAACACAAACTAATAATGTTTACCGGAGAGTTGAGCTTAACTCAGAAAACTATTTGTCAGTTTAGTGTGTTGCTGTGATTGAAAACTAACATTTCATTTGAACTGAATCGCTGCTGAGGTGGTAAATCTGACTAATCTGGTATTCCTCCTTTAATTCTAAAGGTCTTTATCAGAGCAGACTTTTGACTAGTCGTAGTAGGAAAAGCACAGGATGTTAAGAACATTAACGATGGCTGTTGAAGTTTTCCATTAACTCACGGCAGTGTGAGAGTGAGCTAGCAGGCTCAATACCAGCACCCTGAGGCTGAAGCAAAATCACTAATTGTCTTATTTACACCTGAGCTTTTCTTACTGTGACGTGTCAAAATGTCCTCTGAGAAAAAATACCTATATCTTTTGTTAGAAGACACAAATAGCACACAGTAGGTCTCCATAAATCCTTTATTTTTCAACAGAATTGCAATCAATCTGATCCCCGATCATCAGCTGTAGCACACGCACAGCAGTGACAGCAAGACTCGCAGTGCCACCAACCAACAAACTATAAAACAGTCACGTGTCATTTACATTTACACATGCTATGATGCATCTACGGTGCTCCAATTCTGTGTATGGATTATAAATATATCATCTTACAGGTCTCACGGTTAAGTGTTTAACTTTTGACCTATAGTCAGCAGTGACTCTCAGAAGAATGATGTTGGACTCCTGCACATTCATTCACATATATTAATCATCTTTTGAATATGCCATCATGCAGCTTGTGCATCAAAGTGACATCACTTAAGCCAAAACCGTTTATATGGGCACCCGTGGTTGCCGTGTCGCGTGCCTCTCGTCAAGCTCGACACAAGGTTGTGGGTGAAGTTCACCTGTCGCCCACCCTGAGGCCCCGGGGCTCCTGGAGGACCCTGTGATCAGACGTTCCTGCAGCAGGGTTTCCCCTCCTCTTCGTTTTCTGCGCTGGAGCTGCTCAAGGACACAGCACTGATGGAGCCCCGAACCACTTCCTTACTGTTCGCCTTCCTGTGAATCTCTGCGGCAGAAAATAAATATATATAATGTACATTCGCATTAGGCCAGAATAACAAGAAGGGGAGTAGAACAAGTACTATAAAACAAGCCAGACTTAGAAAAGGACAGCAATACTTGTAAAAAAAATAAACCATTGAAGTTGTTCATGTCCATGAGCTTAGGAGCTGGAGGTCTGGCTAGCTGAGGTTAAATTCAGGGTCATAGGGTGGATCCTTATCAAAGCATGGTTATGGGAAAATGTGTGTACCCAGTCCACATCATTATTATTTCTCAGGAGGGGAGAGACAGGAAGGGAAAGACATTCAGGCCAGCAAATAGGAAGAAACCCAGGAAATGAGCGGGGGATGCTGTCAGGCAGCGAACCACGTCACCCTCACAGTTCGGAAACAAAAAAAACAACCTTTCTACATTGGTAAAGAATATTCCGCTTTATCGGGGTAACAGCTTTCAACAAAGGAGAAGTTAAACACATTACAATGAATTACCTGCTAGGACGTTGTTGAATGCTGCTTCCACGTTAGTTGACTCCAAAGCAGACGTCTCCAGGAACAAAAGACCATTCTTTTCTAGATAATACAAATAAGCTATGTTAGTGAATGTGTTTTATTGAATTTCGCATAATGTAGTTGTTTTCTCGCTGGTGTCACTTTAAAGCTGCACTCCCCAAATCACGAAATGTCACCGTTGATCTTCTCATATATAATCCTCAAAGAAATTGGTGATATGGGTAGCAGTCCTCTGCCCTTTAACAACATGATGTATCTTTATTCACATTGACAGGTTTGGTGAGCAGACTAATTTACATTCTCTACAATCATCATAAATTCAGTTTTCCATTAACTAATTACAAACAATGAACATACAAATCCTATGCAGAGATTCTCAGCACGGTGGTAACACTTCTTGACGTTGTACCTGCGTAGTCTTTTGCCTCTTCGGTGGGCACAGACCTCTCTGATTCCAGGTCGGTCTTGTTGCCCACCAGCATGACCACGATGTGGGGGTCAGCATGGTCGTACAGCTCCTTCAGCCAGCGCTCCACACTCTCATAGGTGAGGTGCTTCGTGATGTCATAGACCAGCAGGGCTCCGACTGCACCTCTGTAATACCTGTTTGGAGGAGATTGACTTTACTCCTTATGTGACATTTAGGTGTCTCTTTTTTTCTGCAATGCTACCTTCAGGGACAGTGTGGCACTGCCTGTATAGTTAAATTAAGGGGATATAATATAACAAAAGTAAAAATAATTGAATAAAGCAAAACATTAATAATCTACACACACACACGGACACACACACATACACAAAAGCCTGTAATAACTGATTGTTTGGCTTCTTGGAGGTAGCTGTAAACACAACATTTATATATGATCACATTTTAAGTTGATATGGCACACTTGTTAACAACCAGATACACATTCAGAAGTTAAGGAGCAACATAATCATTCATTCGGTTTCATGCTTTTGGCCAACTGATGAATTTAAGTCCAACATTAACCACCTTTTAGCTCTGTTTTTGTTCTCCTCCATCTCCTGAGGGAAGTATCTGTCTCTTTAGATGCTAAATGCTCCACTATGTTCACAGCTGAGTTGCTAACTGTGTCTGCCTGCGGTTTGGTGCTGAGCAGGTCATTTACAGGGGGTTTATAGCTGCTGTAGAAACGAAAAATACGCTATAAGAGCAGTGAACCAAGACAGTGAAGTTGCCATTTAGAGATGCCATAAAGCTCCGCAGAGCTGAGGGAAGTAATTCTCCCAGGCTCATCATTGAGAGTGACCCCTTTCCCAAAACACACATTTACACCATTGTTATTATAAGAATATCGATGATGGCCGCTTTAAGCATTGTCTTATATCTTCATTGAGAATAAGCAGTTGCTCTGGCTGTCAACTGAAAAAAAAGGCAATGTCTAACGATTGCTCTGAATTCATGAACCAATCAATACTTCCTTTACAATTATATCTCTGCTCCACTGTACCAGCAATATAATTAATTCCGCTTTAATAGGTTTTAGATGCTTGTTACAGCACAAATGGTAAATTCCATGGGAGTGAGAATTTGCATACTGGAATAAGTCGACAAGTAATTACTCCAAAATCCAAGCTGACAGAATAGAGCTAATCCAGCGGTGTAGCATATCCTCTGATTTTTCCATGTCTTAAAAATAAAATTGACATGGTTCTATTGTTTTAAAACCAATTTCCACACTGTTAATCCTTCTAGTTTAATTAAAAAGAAGAATGAATCAGGAGCGCCCTCAGTTATAACAGAGACCCGCTGAGTGTTCAAACAAAGCTCTCTGCTCTAACCAGTTTGGATTTTAGTGTGCCAGTTGGGAACTGACGAGACCAGAATGTGCTGGTTGTTATTCAGGTAATGTGAGAGGAAACGGGAGGATCGGTGCCTGTCCTTGCGTGTGTTTTGGCTGATAACGACACCACATTGTTGTTGTCGACATACAGGTTGCTCAACTACGGTGGAGCAAGAAAGCAAGCATAAGATGTTGATCTAAATATAATTGTCTTTTATTTCAGAGTACCTGCTTAAAAAGTGAGCATGTTTAAAAATAAGTGCAATTTTTGTTTTTGTCTGAACCTGTTTTTCCATCATCACGGAATACCAAGAGAATTTGAGGTATTTTCTGACCATGAAATATTACAACCACAATACATGCTGCAACTTGAACTAGAAAGGTGCACTCAGTAGAGTGCAGGTGTCCGCCAGGTGTGTCTGCACCGACCTGGCCATCCAAAAACCTTACGCAGTTTGCTGCAGCAGAATGTGAGGTTAGCCATGGACAGACACACAGGTGCACACTCACTCACTGAGCCATGCACGCACACGACCGATTGCCTCATTTTAAGGGGCTCCTTAGATGACCATGTGCCCCAAGTGGACTGAAGGGGACACGTTCACAACATGTCTCTTTAGATTTGTGTAAGTAATCAGCAAGTAATGGGGACAGTTTAACAAAAAGTGAACAGACTAAAAATGTAATATTTCATCATAAAATAACTGCAGGAACGCCTTGAAAATCGGTATGTGTGAATGAGTACACGTGAATATGCTAATGGCTGTATGAAAGCTGTGATGGATCTTGACACTCACGCAGAAGTGATGGCCCGGTATCGCTCCAGTCCGGCCGTGTCCCAGATCTGGGCCTTGATGGTGTAGCCGCTGAGCTGCGTTGTCCGTGTGCTGAACTCCACCCCGATGGTTGTGCGGCTGTCATGGTTGAACTCGTTTTTGGTGAAGCGGGACAGCATATTGCTCTTTCCTACACCAGATTCTCCAATTAGAACCACTGCAGAGGACACACAAAGAAAACACAAATGTCTTGATTATAGTTCTGTGTTTGGGTTTGGTCATTGCAAAACTAAACTGACTAACATTTCTTGGATAAAGGAGACAAGCCTCATGTTCACAGAGCCTAATATGAGTCAATCCTGTGCGTCCACTTCATCCTTTACAGATTTTGGTCAAGGCGTGTCTTTCTTGGTTAAATCCTCAATCTTAGCTGTCTCACACTGGGGCTAATTACACCATTGGGGATATGATGTCCTAATTTAAAAATAGCACCACACCTTCATGGTAAATGAGTCTAATGTTGTAACTCAAGCATGCAGAGCAAATAGTGAAGAGAGAAACCATGTTGAGTAAAATACTGGTGAAACACTGATGTTGGCCTGTAACATACTACACCAGATTATTGATCGGTCAGGAGATCACTGAGGATCTTCTGAGGCTGTAGCCTGTCCCAGCATGCACTGGTGGGATGCCAAATCTTTAATCGATTTATCTATTTTTTTATTTAGACTGCAAGGAGTGAAGGTGCCAAGTAAAGGAGGCAAAGCACGGGCAGGATTGAAACTAGTTGAGGCAGAGATGTGGTTGCAGAAGTAGACGACTTTGCAATCGACAATTCTCTCTTACGTTTGTCTGTAATGTTCCAAAAATTGGCTTACAGCATTATTTTCATTAATCATTGAGGCCTTGCAGCACAACGTTCAGTCACGCCTCACTCGAGGTTTGAGTTGTTGATGTTTAAGAAACCTATTTTAGCAAAACAGAAGGACAAATATAATGGAATGTTCCATGTTTGTTAACTTTTCTAGAGCACAACCGAAAACCTTAAAACAAGTGAACCTTTATTTCAGGAAATAAAGCAGTCGCTGAGTGTAAGGTGATCCTAAATCAGGTGGAACAAGTCAAGCGGCCACTGCCTTTCTTATTGGTCAGTTTACTGGGTAAACAGGTCGAGAAATAACACAGACACCCCCTGTTTTTTACATTTGAGTGACTAATGTTTGGCTTTCAGTTGTTAGTGGCTGACTCAGAACAAAAGAAAGGCTTGGCTTAATTGGCGCAGATAGGAAGATATGACCACACTGTGAAAACACAGAGGCACTGGGATCTCTGCACAAGTGAATCAGACACAGTCACAGCTCACTGCTGAGGCGTGTGAGCACTGAGAAAATAATCCAAGTTCTTGTGACATCTCCACAAGATATTAATAATGGAGTTAGGGTGTGATGATGGGAGTTAAAACAATAGTTGGGCGTTTTCGGGAAATATGCTTATTTGCTTTCTTACCAAGAGTTAAACGACAAGATTCATGTTTGCAAGTTAAATATGTAGCTTAGCTTAGCATAAAGACTGGACGCGGTGGGAAACAGGTAGCCGAAGGTTAAAAAAGATTCACCTACCAGCAACAGTCATTAATCAACACGTCATATCTCGTTTGTTAAATCCGTACAAAAACTGAAATGAATGAATGAAAAGGTTTTGGTTTAACTGGAAGTTTTGTGCGACAAGTTTTAAGAGATGGAGGTAGGTGACTTTAAAAAAATTATTTGGAGGACAGAGCCAGGCTAGCTGTTTACTGTCTTAACGCTACTAAAATCACAAATTTTTGCTTTCACATTTTGTATGGATTATAATTACGAGATATTAAGTGTTAATGAGTGAGCTTGATATCAACTTTTTACATTTGAAATCTGAATGGTGCTATTTTCACAATGAGCAATTTTATTTTTTCTTAAGGAATATTATGCTTCGAATACTTTTTTGAATGCAGGGCTTTTATTTATAATGTAGTATTTTTTGAATGTGGTATTTTTACTTCAGTAAAGGACCTAAATACTTGTTCTACCACTGGTGACTAAAAAAGAATATCTCCTTAAGAGCCATCACATGATCTTCTTCAGCAGTTGGAGTTCGTCATAGGAAAGATTTTCATCTACCATCTATCATGCAACTGCTGATGAAGATCATGTGATGGGATCTAAAGTGCCAGAACAGTTACTAAATGAACCTTGTAGTCAGACTGTTTTCTTAATGTTTTTATTTTCCATGGTCGAGAATGAACTTTGAAGCCAGCATGGACGAGAGGTTCTTAAAATGCTCCAAAAAAGAATGCAAATTTGAACAGGAGTTCGCAAATCATTTCTTCACTATTCACCAGTTGCAGAACAACAGATAGAAAATGCTTTTCTCCTGAACACGCGCAGACTCCCATACACACAGTTCTTCACTTACAGACTCACAGTATGGTTAACCTAAAGCCACGGCAAAGAATGTTTGACAAGTTGTTCTACTTTTGCTTGTTTTGGGTAACTGTTCACTCTGCAGCCAGACCACTGTACTGCTTTTTCTCCCAGTGGGTGAGGTGAGAATGCCCGTCCTCCCCCTCTTCTCCTCCACTACTCAGTAACTTCTTATGCAAACAATTCCCAACCCTGGTTCCTATGGAGATAAAGGACAAGAGGCCTTCGAGCCTGGTCTGTTGATTCTGAGGAAGAACTTTAAGTGATGCTGCGAGGATTAAACTTTCCTTTTTGGAAATCTAAGTACTGTATTCAGTACTGCCCTGAAATCCTGATGGAAACTTTAAATAATTTAGGAGTATATATTGGACAGCAAAGTTTAATTCTTATACACTAAATATTAATTCATGTTTAATGGTCGACATTAAAACAAATCTGAGTTTTTTAAATGTGCGTTAAGGTACACGAGCATATGCATATTCATTTGTAAGTTAACTTTAAATATCTGGTCACTTTATATGTGCAGTAGTAAAGAGGTTTTTTTGGCAAAATGAAAAAGCCTTTCCTAATAAACTCACAACTGCAGCATTCCCATCTTATATGACTCTGACACTGAACCTTTATACTTTTAATAATAAAGTGCAGTATACCTGTGTATGTACAACTTCTAATTACATGTCCCTGTTTACAATCAGTTAATTCATTTTAAAAGTATTGTCTACCATAAATATATATTATTTCATATATTGTATATTTGTTATAGTTATCCCTATATTTGTACTTCTGCTCTATTTTATGTCTTAGAGTCTCATTTTTTACTCGCGTGATTTTCTTTTTATATATATTTAATGGGCATTGCTGGAGGGAGCCTGAGATCTAAGATTTTTATAGCCAACAACTGCTTCTCCGTAATTGTTGAGCATGTGACAATAAATAACTTCAAACTCAAAACTCCTTCCACAATGTGCTGGTGTACAGTGGTGCGGGCTTACATTCCAAGCAAACTATAAAATCAGATTTTAAAGATTAGTTTCTCTGAGCTATCTGTAAATCGCTGGAGGAATGAAAACCTGCTCGTACCTTTGAGATAGTATATATCCCACACTGCCTAGGAGCACTGCAGGAGTGAGTGTTCCTTCTTTTTACACATTACAGGAACAGATACATATTTTGTGGAAAAACACTTATTCATTTTCTTGCAGAGAGTTAGATGGGAGGATCAATTCATGTCTATAAACTATGAAGCTATGCATCCAGCAAGCAGTTAGCTTAGCATAAAGACTGGAGGCAGTGAGGTTGATAGACAACCACAACTTGACCGTTTTACAATTTAGTCTCTCTACAGATTAAACAAGTTAGAAATATCAAGTTAAGATGGGCGGATTTTGTTGCATTTGGACAGAGCCATGCTAGCTGCTTCTCCATTTCCAGTCTTTATGCTAAGCTAAGCTAATCAGCTGCTACAAACATAAGAGTATCAATCTTCTCATCTAACTCTCAGCAAGATTGCAAACAGGCATATTTCCCAAAAGGTTGAAATATTTAGTTTTTATAATTATATTTTCTCGTAACCAAATCGAGAGGAGGTGTGTCATAACCTGTACTGACTGTGATGTGATGTATAGAGCTGTCCTCGACTAAAGAAATAAACACTTCTGAGTTTCACAAAGAATCATGCAAAAGCACCACTTTAAATCTCTGGTGTTTGTTTACCAGAGATGTGCTCATTAGTTTCTTGGATCGATAAAATAGTAATTAAGCATGAATAAAGCACAACGAACGACTAATTGACTTAAGAGATCTTAACCGACTAAGACCAAAACAACAGATTAGTCGGCTAATTGACTAAGAGGCGGTCACACTAATGTAAACTGATAGTTGACAGTGTAGAGATAGACAGGACCTGTCTCATTTTAACTCCTTGATACAGAAGGTGATACTTAGGATTCAATATTCACCTGCAACGCCTTTTATCAACATGGCACTTTGTACCCAAATGTCAAATCGCTGTGCCTGAACCAAATCACCTCTCTGAATGACTTTCACTTCTCTTGTACATCTGCTAAGAGCCATCTGGTACCTTAACCAGCTGCATATAAAAAATGATTACTGTGCCATGTAGGTTGAGTGCAGAATGAATAGAGTTAGTGGCACAAGCTGCTTCTCTTCAAAGAACAGGGCATAATTCAAGTCCAACACTTTTACAGCCTGGAAGTGTTTCATTCGGGGAAACTCCTGTATGAGTGCTGCACTTTGTCTTTTGGCACTGGTACAGGGCTTTAAACCAGAGATTCTATGTTACAGCGTTGTTTCTGCTCGGGATGCTATGGATAAACAGGAATTAAAGTACACATCCTGGTTTCAACAATAACCTGTAGCATGCGTACTCCTTACTCACACAGGGACAATGTGCTGACCTGGCGATGTGATTGTAGTATCCTTCACCTTTGTAGGAATGAAACTCACCTGAAGAGTTTTAACATTTGCAAAGTACCAACATATAATATTTACCTAAACAGCTGACTGAACACCCAGACAGCTGGGTATTACCATGTATTGTTCAAAATATATTTCATTCAGTTGCCACACAGCACATGTTCCTGTTCCTAGAAATAGGCAAGTTAATAATGAACAAGGAAGTATAATTTGAAGGGCAAAGGAACATCACAGCATAACTCCTTTTATAGACTTTAAGGATGTACAGGGGGATCAAATCAGGTGCACTCACCCTTAAAGACAAAGTTGTAGGCCTCATCTGACCCCATGTTCTGTCCATTCAGTGTTGCCGCCCCTCAGTTTACTGCCGCGTCTCCAGCACTCACAGATTGATCCGCAGGTCAGGATGTAAGACGACACTGACTCACACCACAACACAGCCTCCTCCTCAGATCCTCAGGCTTCAGGAAAGACAGTGGCTGCAGTTTTGACACATCAATGCCAGTCGCCAGCTTTTCTGCCCTTCGTCACCCTTCCCTATCTGAGTTAGAAAGCTGGCTTGTTTGAACAAGACATGCTGAGTGTATCCAGGTTGTTGTTCAGCTGCAGCAGGCGGGGCTTGTGTCAGGGAGTGGTGGGGCAGCTGCAGAGGTGTGTCTTAATGCGGGGCAGGTTGGACAGGTGGGTCGAGTAAGCAGGTACAGCTGAGAGGGGCTGTCAGGCGCCTCCTGCTGGACCGGTCCAATTACAGAAAGCAGGAAGCAAGTATCACTGATCATCTTCACTACAAGGGAAACGACACCCCGAAACAGAGTTCACATGGTTTTCTATCAGTCTCTGCTTGAGCTCAACATGTCTGTTGTTTCTATTTGATCCTCTGGTCACACAGACAAAGCCATTTACTGCATGTGGTAATTTCAGTAGTATCTGTTTCAAGATGCATTTTCAAAAGAAGAGATCATTTATTTTGTGTGTAGTTTATAACTTTGGGACATGATAGTTAGATTTGTCTTGTCAAACATTTTTACACTTTTATCGACGATCTCATCGGCCTCCAAAGAGGTCACGGTCACTCAAACTGTAGGGAGTCTTACATCTTGTGTTCTGGGCCATAAATGCACCAGAACATCATATAAATAAGCCTTGTTGGCCCCATCATGGTTAACTGACTGTTTGGCTCATATTCTTAAATATTTAGCAATAAGTCATCAAAATGTTTCATATAATTGTTGATGCTTTTCTCTAAACACCGACATGCAGATAAATCCTGTTTTCATCTATCGAATTTAGATCTCCAACGGATTTGAAGTGATGTTATAAAAAAGAACTTTGTGCAATCCTTGGACTGTGACTGAACTGCACTCAGAATGACCAACAAAGGCTTTTTTTCAGTCAACCAATCATTAGGCTGCTCAAAGGATTTCAGTGATATTCGTTTCAGGTGTTGAAGCAGATGAGCATGCGAACAGTGAGTGAGTCAATGGAACTTCTAGTTCCACTCCTAGTATCTACAGAAACCTATCATGGAAAGATAGCAACATGGAAATGTGAATACAATCTTTTTTTTTTTTCCCAATAAGAGCAAAATAACAACATGAGGATGTTGTATTGTACGTACCTGATAAATCCATTCATAACAATGCTAAACAATCCAAAATGCATCTAAAGTGCTTCCTATTGAATTAAGATATAGACTCTCAAGCTTTCCTTCGCAGGCCTTTCTAATTTGACACTAAAAACACAGATTCAATAACATTAGTTTCAGAGAATACTGAAACTACAGGTGCTTTCAAAGCCTAAAAATAAACCTTTGGACTGATATATAATAATAGCCCACGAACACCAAGCACTCAGTTCAGAGCACAAACACAAAACAAATAAGTGAATATTAATGCAAAAATTGTTTATTTGACAGCTTTGAAACAAAATGAAGCAAATAATCTTCACTGCATTTTATCAGTCAGACATTCTTACGAACATTTTCCACAAAACATTTTACTCCTCTGACAGGATTCAAAATGTTACATTTTCTGCTTCACTGGGATCAGCGAGGCTGAACTAAAACTGCAAATGAATGAATCAACCGCGGGAAGAGTTGAATAATGGAAACATCTCAGCAGCTGCACACTCAGACTTCTCATTGACAAATTACGTGGACTTTCTTAACAGACCACTTGATGAACACGAGCGTCACAAGAGAAGACAACGTGTTAAAAACCAAGACAAGTTATTAGTTTCAATACCATGATTATAGTTACACTGCCCCCCCCTCACTCATATATTAATGCATGTACAGAATGTTACAGTAGTCCAATGACCTGAATCATATGATGCTTTGTTTCCAGGCAGACAGATTCATCAGGCTGAGCATCAGTCACTTCTCCACTATGACGCTGCCACTTGGGTTAATGGCTCCTCCAGGTACTGCACCAGGGCCTCTGCCTATCAACACAACAGACACCGAACAATGTTAACTAGAATTACCACCACAGCGACCTTTTAACACCAATAAATTCTAATCTGTTCATCCTCGAGTCCAAGTGCACGTTTGTGCCAAATTTGGTGGCGTTCGCCAAAAAGGGGACGGACACACAACTCAAAAACATATCGCCTCCGGCCATGGCTGTTGCCATAACAACGGCTGTATTCAGACTTGTTGGAATTTTGAGAATCGCAAACATCAATATGCACCTGCCAATTTGTCTTTGTATGACTTGTGCGGCTGCATCTTGTCGTTTCCTCTTCCTCTCATATAAAGTATTTCAAACTGAAACAAATCTATATGCACAACAATTTGTCATCGTAAGATAATATTAAATAAAACTTGATTAATCCCATGGAAAATATCTGCAAATACAAGGAGTGCAAAGCATAAAATTCTACGATAACAATAACATAAGGCAAATAAGGTGCAAATCCAAAATATATACAATGCCCAAATCAGGTTAACAGTAACAGGGTTCCTACTCGTTTCTAGATTTAAAAGAAGTGCAGTCTATGACTATAACTTCAATTAAATCCTCTCTCAGCTGTTTTCCAGGACACGTAGGAACCCCGAGTATGGATCATAAAAATATAAACAGGTTAACGGATGGGATCAGTCATGGTGGGCTGACTAAGAGTACATTGTTAATACATAACGTTCATGATTATATCCAGGATGTTGCTCTTAATGTCGCACTACGTCCCGTTAGTGAGCTGTAACAGTGCGTTGCCAACTTTGATGACTAAATGATGGTGAATTCAGAACCATTCCAGTGTTGAGACTTTCTCTTTTGCCACCTACAAAATGCCAATAAATGTCAAATAAATTCACTTTGACATGGTGGAGGTTGGGGACCCTCAAAGACCCCATTACAAGTGTGTGCTTTAACCCTCAATATACAAATGAGCTTGACAAGTACAGCAAACCACGACGAATGCATGAAAAACCATGGCAGCGAATGGTTGTACGAGAAACCAATGACTGACTTCAGCACCGACTGCTAAAGAACTCTCACCTTGGCTTTCAGCATTCCAAAGCCCACCGTCTCTTTGGCGTACATACACAGTAGTAGGTTGGCTACACGAGTGATGGCCACTCTTCCCTCCTGAGAAGAGAGAAAAAACAAAGTGACAAAGTGCCCCAGTTCACACTGATCACATACCTGAGAACAACCGCAAGTGTTTTTTCGGAGGAAATGCACTACTTACCATACAATCCATGAGTATGAACTTGAGTTTGTCTTCGTTAAAGGCCTGGTGGCCGTTCTTGTCGTAGGCCGCCCAGATGTTGCTCGCGATAGCGGCTGTCACTCGTGCGTCAGTGTCCCCGTACCCGGAGTAAGCCAGAAGTGAACCTTCATTATTCAGTAGGCTGGTGGAAATGTAAAGTTGCATGTTTCAGTATCCAGCCGATGAACATGTCAAATGATTTCACTATAGACGGTCATTGTATGGATTCTACTCATAGATATGTATTAGTCCTTTCATAAATCCATCATGTGCCCTACAGCAAACATTATATAAACACAACTACAATTCCGTATACCGTCTCCCTGATGGTCACAGATTGTATGCACGCCACTCGGGACTCACGTCATCGACATGCAGTTTTTGCAAGCTATTTGTACTATTCCAAGCTCCTGAAACTGTCTGCACTATGTAACGTTGTTATGAAGTATGTTGCCCTTTATCTAAGTTTAATTAAACCAGACGTAAAACCTATTTTAATTTAAACTGACAATAAGACCACACTTAACGCTATACAAGAAAATAAGTACAAATGAAAGCATCTGTAGAAATGCAGGAATAGATTAAATTAACAAATTGAATTAAAATATATGCAAATGAGTGAATCTAGACAGATCTACTTTCAGTAGTGCTGAAACGCACTGAGATCTCGCAGTAAAATATAAAGTTGGGGATTTTTACCAGCTATTTGTCTAATTTACTTGTTATCGCGGGATTATTATTGTTCGTCAAGATATTATTGAACGTTTGCAGACTTTTTGAGTTTCCTGGTGCGTCAAAAACAACAACAAATCGAACAATGGTCAAAAACCACATTACTCCTGCGCCGTGTAGCATCTCGCTAGCATAGCGCTAGCTAGCTAGCTGTACTCACAGTGTGCTTTGAACTCCGTTTGTGTTCGCTTGGCTGAGAACCTGCGTTAACGCCTTTGGTCGTAACATAGCTACTTACTAACGCACGTGTTATTTAATCACTAACGAAAGGCCTTTAAACTGTCAAGAACTACTCAACAAAACACCAAGTCGAGTCAGCTGACGTTTTCTTCCCTTTCCGGTTGCGTTCGCAACGCATTGTGGGAATTTTAGGCATCGAAACTATTTACTGACGTATGTACTGTTTAACGTTTGCTAAATGTGGAAAGTATTTAGTCAAGAGTGTATTAGTTTACTTGAGTATTTACATTTGTGGAGACTTATTATATTATGTGTATGTACACTATTTACTGTTTATACCCGTATACTCACCACAGACCGTAATATTTCAGGTGCGCACTTCACTTTTACTGTATTGCTTTTTGTAGCTCTCGCTACTAGTCTAGTTTTAAGTTTAATATTTTATGTGCGACATTCATAAAACTATTAGAGTTCCATGTTAATATTTGGAGTATAAAACCATCCAACTTTTCAGAGCACATTCAAATATTTAAGATAAAAAAACAAAAAAGGAGCAATAACAACAAATAGGTAATTTCACTTTTAATAATTAAAACAACTGCGTTGTTATATTTGATAAAAGGCACAATACAGACTGTTTTGGTTAGTGGAATAGTATTTATGGTCAGCTACATTTACTTAATTCAATTCTTCCTCTGCACAGATTACCATTAGTGACTATTACATTATATAAATGTATTTGTATTTCTAAGGAAGAGATATATAGGCCTACTTGTGAAACCTTTCAGATATCACTGGACACGGCAAACAGGTGGTTACAGGATGCAGGCAGAAACACACTGCTAGGACAAAGTGACATTTAAATCAAAGTTTAAATCCAACATACCACAGCAGTCAAACTGCGAGGTCAAAGTAAATCATTCACACATTTAAATCAGACAAGACAAATTGCAAATCATTTATTGGACTGAAAAAAATGTTTTTTGGCTACTTTGTCCATAGAGGGAGACATGCAACAATAGATTTCACAGATTATTTTGCAATATATTGCAGAACCCAAGATGGCAACAATGGCTTTCAAAAATTTCTATTGAGTAATCCATAACCACAATTAATCACAGTATCATTAGGGCATTGACACTTTATAGAGACACCATTTTATACTTCAGGACAAAAAAATCAAAATGGATGTTTGGAAGTTTATTTACTTTTACACTGTTAATCGACAGGAAACCAACTTGAACCAAATCTGTTTGTCAAGAAAGTAAATTCCAATGACACGGTCTTTACTAAGATGTACGGATGTTATTTTTAAGGCGATACTGTGATCCATTGTAGAATAATTTATAGATTAAAACAATCAGATGGAAACTGTTTTGGTGAATTCTGCAAATGAAAAACCTGACAAATGTACCTGAGGAAAATCTCTGCCAGTTTTTCCTTTGTCCAACCCTCGCCACACACACACACACACACACACACACACACACACACACACTACACACATTTGGTCCTGGAATCCGAATCCAATCCTAAAACATTGAGGCAGCACTGCCAAGCACCTGTCAGGGTAAACAAAACAAAAAAAGAAACTTTGAATAGATAACTTAGATAAATACCAAGCAAGAGGATGAAAAAACAAAATAAGCTGAGAGCACAGAAGACCATCATCCAACAACAACCAAATTAAAAACTCTTTAGCCAACGACATAAATACAATTAGTTAAAATTAAATAATGTCAATCTAAGTAACAATTAAAAGTAAATTCCTTGGTAACCCCGTGCAGACATCCAGTGAATGAGTACTTGTTATGTCAGTAATCATCTCCGGCTGCACTGGATCTTATTGGTCGTTGGCAGTGATAGTCGTGGCGTCATGAAACAACGACCCTCGTCAACCTCCCCCGTTTATACTTCCTATGAGTTACAGATCGGCTAGATAATAAGTGATATCTGGGTGTCAGGTCACACTTGCATTTGATGTAGGGACTGCGTGTCACGTGTTAACTTTAAAACTTTCCATTCCAGTCCACAACTCTACCAGTCTTCCGACCTGAGCGAGTTAGGCCAGGAGTCTCTCGATGGCGGCGTTGACGTCCCCTCCCGTAGCGATGAGCGCCTGCAGGTTGGCTTGGCGGTCGATGAAGCCCATGGTGTTGAGCTGGTCGAGCTGCTGCTGGAAACGGACCTCGGGGGTCTGAAGCTGCGAGGGAGGAGACTATGCACAAGGTCACGATCATTCTTCATGTTAAATCATATTAACATTCATATTCAAATTTAGTGGCAGGATTATCTATTGGTCTCAATGAAAAACACCAACAATCCTAACAAGTTTTTAAAGGTTGACAAGAGAAAGGAGAATCAAAACTGGTGGAACTTAACATACGTCTAGCTAACAACGAGTTAGAATCTGTGAAAAAATTGATGCTCTGATTATGGAAAACAGGACAAATTAGATGACACATACTGGTTGCCTTCCGCCTGCGAACATCTGTAACATCTGCTGGAGGAGCTGTTGGTCAGAGGGACTGGTGGCTGAGGAGGGGCTGGATCCTGTTGCCATAGTAGAGGGCTGAGGGTTCTCTGGGGGGATGCTGACCCCTGAGGCTGGAGGAACCGGGAGACCTCCAGGAGACAATCTAGAGAGGGGAAGGAAATGTCAACAATCCAAGAAAATGTAACGATTCCATTGAATTTCACCTAAATATACTGTGACACTACCAATACTTACCAACTACAACCAAAGGGTACAGCTATTATGTTTCTTTCCATTAATTCTGAGTTGACCACCAAATTAAGACAATTATACAAGGTTTAAGTATTCTTTTTAGAGCCAATAGCCGGTACCTGGACATGAATCCCGGGGCTTCTGTCTGTAAGGTCTGCAGGCCCTGTTGGATCTGCATGAGAGCCTGCATGGCCCTGGGGTTGGTCATCATAGACATTGTTTCGGGACTCTGCATCTGTTCAATGACAAACACGACACAAGTCAACTCCAAACCCACCCAACCGGGTCTCCAAAGACCCGACAGATGATATTTTATCTTGTGTACACAAAATAACAAATCGCGATGTCCGCATACATTCTCCACAGAGCGTTTTAAACCCTGAGGATGCTCTCAGGGTTACTAAGCACCTAGTCCTGGTAAAGCGTCACCTGTTGCATCATTGCTAGATCCCTTGCCTACTGTATGGTCCGTCAAGGGACGAGAGGATGGAAGTGACAAAAACAAGCAGTGAGAGCCGAGGAAGAAGAACGTCTCACTAGACTGTTGAGTTCCATCGTTATTCCAGCACATTTTAACTGATTAAGTTGTACCTGGGGTCGTATTTCTTGCAGAAAATAGATAAAAAACAATAGGTCACCCAATTACACTAAAACAACATCATTTTAAAATTGCATCAACATGTGCAAGCAAATGGTCTGGGAAACAGAGGTTGAAAGCACGGCAGGAGAAGAACAGAGGATACTAATATTTCTGTATCCTCTGTGAAAATAGACAACTGCAGGAGTGTGTGACGGTAAGCAAAATAAATAACCGATGTAAAGAACATAGCCTCAGACTCAAACTGGGTAGAAAAGGTGACGGTACTAAAGCTCACTTCAAGTAACAGCAACCAAAAACAGTTTGCATCACAAATATGTGGTCACGGTCAAACCTACATCAACAGCAGGTGTGTCTGATTTGTGCGGACCACCCAAATATTAAAAACTCCGGTGCCACTGTTTTCATTCAAAGTGTTGAATTAACCAAAATTCGGCAAGTTTACGGCTGTGAGAGAAAAAGAGTAAAAGCCAGTTTGGGGAACACCTGTTCATCTGGCTCTTTGAGGATGACTTAGTGTTTCAGAGAACTATCACTAGCACTGACCTGTCTCATGAGCTCAGGGTTGCTGAACATGCTGGAGATGTCCGGGTTCCGTCCCATGAGCTGCTGCATCTGAGGGTTGCCTGCGAGCATCTGTCTCATCAGTTCTGGGTTGGACATCATGTTCTGCACCATCGGGTTGCCCATCACCTGCGACAGCATTTCTGGGTTGGACATCAGCTGACTCTGCACCTGCTGCTGCATCTCCATGAAGCTGGATGAGCGCATGCCCATATTACCCATACCGCCCAGACCTCCCATACTGCCCAGACCTCCCAGACCTCCCAGACCGCCCAGACCGCCCAGACCCAACAAGCCGGAAAGGTCACCGAGTCCACCTGAGGAAGAGGAGGAGCAAAGCCGGAGATAAGGTGGCAGGTAAGTGGACACGTTGACAGGAAAATGTATGTATGTCACCCAAATATGTTTTTAAAGTGCTACATTTATGGTATCTTGTCAAACGTCTGTGTGGAAATGCAGTTGAAAATGTGGATTGATTTCAAATCTTCAAGAATGCTGCATTCATGTTCAGTCATACAAATAATAAGCATAATTTCCCTTATCAAACTTTCATGGTCGACAGATACTGAACACTGCATACGCATATGGCTGAGTGTATGTGGCGTTTTAAGTCATTCATGTTTCGTGACTGGCTTATAATGTGTACAGTGTCTGATTGTTCTGAAGACAAATTCTCTATAGAGCCTAAATGGTTTCTATTCATGCCGTGACAATAACTTACAGGAAAGTAGGGGAAACAAGGAGAACGAAAAGACAAAGAGGCATATGGACTCAGATTCTTTTCACGATGTGGATTTGTGGTACAACCCTAATTACGAGGGCATATCTGTCACAAGGATTAAACGCGCTGCAGTGCAAAAAGCAAGCAAGTCATTGTAAACATGTATAAAATTCTAACCCATTGCATTAGCAGGTTGTGTTGGCGTCGTACTCGTGCCACTTCCGGCTCTGTCTGCTGCGCTGGCGTTGCTGCTGCTACTTTGAGATGATGCAGAACGGGAACTTGTCTGAGATGTACCGTCACCTGTCGATCTTCAGAGAGAAAGACAACCGTCAAATTAAACGCTTACCAGCTAACTCATAGATGGGGATTTACATAGTCTAACGATAATGATTTACACCATTTCCCTACCACACACGCATTGTACCGGTGCTTACTTTGGGGCAGTCTTGATGACGAGATGAACGGTCAAGCCGTCTTTGATACCGTGCTGTTTTAACGTATCACCGTCCTTCAGAATCTTTCCAGCAAATATCAACACCAGCTGGTCCTGCTGGGCCTCAAACTTTTTGGACACCTCCTGTTTAAACTGGACAAATGAGACAAGAGCATTGGACGATTACTAACAGGGAAAAGTAAAGTAAAATATCAACTAGGTCCGGCATTTACTTGTGATCTCGTGGACCTCTTCTGAAGAGGTGTCAGAATCTAGTTCTGAAAATGTAGTCAGTCTCTTGTCTTTAGTAGACTCCATCTACAATGAGCACGAAGGAACTAAGGCCAGACAGTTGTATTCATTCCTTAAACAGTACAAACAAATATAGAGCCAACTCCTCTGGTGGTTCAATTTGTTGATGACACGGTGATTGCTGATTTGATCGCTGATGATGCAAAAACGCATCATGAATGAGAGGATTGTTTGTTGATGGAAGTCAGGCCAGTTTAAACCACGAAATGTCCCGTTTTCTTCAGCTAAATACCAAGAAAACTCAGGAAATACATTTTTATTTCAGAGCAAGAAGACAGACACACCAGCAAAGAGCTACTTGATGGTGAATATGAATATCTGGGGACAGTGATTGATGTAAAACTGTCATGGAGGAGAGGATTACAACAATTATGATTCGACAGTTTGCAGTGGACAGAGGACTCAATCCTAGTATAGTTCTGATAAACAAAATCCTTGTGATGTGATAAATGTGTCACTTGATTGTTGTTGTGAATCACACTGCTGTCTGACTAACTATAGTGCATTTTGTTGTGGTAGCACGAGTCTGATTGACAAGGAGACAAACATTGGTTTGACAGGTTAACAGCACAGAACTGGAAAATACTCCGTTAACAGTCACACACAGTGTCAAAGAGTGGATGACCATTGTCAGTAACGGCAATCCGACTTGTTTAATGGTGTTATTCGGTTGTATATAAGAAGGTTAACGTTAGCTCTTGTAGCATGACGCTACCTTTCCGGTTACTGTCGTAGCCACAGAAATGTCTGCCGTCTTAATAACGTGTCGGATCTAAACGTGACTTAAAAGGTTGATTTCACAGTAGACATCTGTGAGATCACGAATATACCTCTCAAGATGTAACCGGCTGCTGGTTAACAGTTAAAAAAAGTAACGTTTTGACCTTTCCCCAAATGTTTGTGAGGAAACGTTTACGTGATGGCAGCGTGGTATCCGATGAAAACGGCGAATTAACGCACCTGTGAGACAGATGAATCCTCTGAAATGGAGATTTCCTCTTTTCCATTGGGGGTTTTGACGGTGACCACCATCATAGATGCTCCGGGAGCAACACTATTATCCATGTTGTCATCCTCCGTACGGTCCGTGCTGCTTTTCTCCGCCATCTTTACTGATGTTTCTCTCTCTTCTTCTGCGTCACTTCCGGTATAGTCTTCTTCTTCCTTTTCGGTTTTATGGCAGTGTGGCAAACCAGCGTTGAGGTGAATTACCGCCGACTACTGTTTGGAGTGTGGACTTGAGCCGTATATAACCCTATACAAAACAAGCACACAACAAATAAAACAAACAAGAACAGAACATAAAAAAACAATATTTCACAAAACTAATTATTGTTGATCAGCCCAGTTTCAATTCAGTTCTTCCACTACCAGGTTTATGATTTCCCTCTTGATGTTTCTCGTTCTCTAGTAGACTTTTTGAAGTGTAAAGTTACATTCTCCACTAATTCCTCTACTCGACAGTGTTTACAAAATCCTGAAGGGTGTTTACTAAGTGCAGTGTGTATTAAGTCTGGTATGTCCGACCCACTGATGTTCTTCTTTGAACATAAACTTGCAAAGCTGGTATAATCACACCCTGTGTTCCCTGTGATCGTTGGACCCATCAGTGTACTGGGACATATGTTGAATATAATGTTTGTGGTCTTTCTCCAACAAAGACTGCAATATTTCTAAAATCTTAATGTAACCGCATTAGTGTAAGCTTCATTGTGTGTGACTACGTGTTTGTGTGCTTCTCTTTTCAGAGCATTCTCTACAAACTTCCCCTGCTGAAGAAGCTCTATTTTATGATGTCATGAGTTAAAGTCCTATAAAAGTCAAACAAACAAAACATAATAATGGTTTTGTGTTATGACTTCTTCAATTATGAGATGTTCATGTGCCTTTGTGTTTATCTTATAATAATGTTGCCTTCAAGAGGTACTTGTAAATACAAGTTATCATGCTGTAACTGTAAACTACTTTGAGTGTATATCATTATCCCTGTTCTTTAAAAAAGCACAATATTTGTTTATGTTTTATTGTACAAATGGAATAGTATTGTCAATCAATCTTTATCAGATTTGCATAACAATCAAATATCAAGATGTGTCTCACAAATTCTGTGTAAAATGGACTTCTGATTGTTATTCTACAGATTTTAACTTCAACTGTAAATATTCATGTATTTATTTGATTGTGTATTTAACTTCAGACACCACTTATGTCCAGAATGACACTTAAAATGTGTCATGTCACATTAGTAGACCTACAGATATCCGTTTAAAAAAAAAAAAAAAAAAAAGATTCCAGATGTTTGATACAAAATCTTCAAATTTTACTGTTTTTAGCCAGATAATATAAACCAATTAATTCAAATAAAAGGGATTTCTCCACTTGGATTATTTTTCTGGCAGTACCAGAAACTCTTGGAAACTGCATTTAGAGAAAATTATCAACAAAATATATAGCTGAACAGTTAAATGAACAAATAATAAAAACAATAGGGCAGGGTTGTGTTGGGCTTTTGGAATACTAAACTTCTGGCTCCGGCCCTTAAAGGGTTAAGCTTGTTTACAGTTCCTAGAGGGAGGTACTTCTGGTAACAGGTTGGCTCTCTGCCGCATCTGTCTAAGCTCCTTCCTCTCCTTCCTCTCCTTCCTTCTTCCAAACAATAACTGCGTAACAACCGTACTTTCAGCCACACTTTGTCAGGTGGAGTGCAATAGTTTTAGGTTTTTCTTCCACGCTAACAGACATAAACAGGTAACAGGTCTTTTTTGTCATGTTTGATTCAGTTTGTAAAGGAACAGAATTCAATTTTAGCCAGTCCTTATTATGGCCCTGTACTGCTACGTAAGTGAATCCATACAATTAAAACATTCAGGAGTCATCAAACGTGTTAATGGGTGAATATTTCAAGTTCGAACTCAACTTCTTGGCAACGTATCAGCGGAGAAAACGTGTATGTCAGGCGGGTATTAAGCAATACAAATGACGACTTAATGAAATGGAGTACAGGACATTTGTGTTTATCGATGGAACTCGGGCAAAATCCAACATGGCACGTAACGTCTTCAGGGCTCAGTGCCGCTAATGGAGGCTGGAAGCTATATTACTACAGTACATGTTAAAAATAATAGTCACAATTTAAACAGTAGAGCTTGTTAAATCCTGATTTTCCAGTTCTTAGTAAGGGTCAAGCTCTAAAAATGCTGAATCGTGCAATTTCCTAAAATGCATCTTGATGGCATATTTCATGAGATCCATCCTGTCTGGAATGCCATGTCCCCCAGTTTATGACAAAGTTTTTTTGTTACAGTCTCTAAATCTTTAGCCTAGTCTGAGATAACCTTGATGGGTTACATCTCTTCAGACTTCTCACAGCTTCCGATGAGGTTATTAGACATTATAGGCCTACCACTGGTCCATTACCTTCAATAACAGACACACCTCTTAATATAAGTCTGCAAAGCATAAAGTGTGATGCTGCTGGAAGAGATCGTGGATTAGAACAAAGGCTACTCATCAGATTGCACTACAAAAGCCCATTAAATTACTATAACATTTAGTAATTCATTAATTATAGTACTTTTTTGTATAAATTCGTACATCCACCCCTAATCTATCAACACAAATTCCGTTTTTGTAAGTTACATGAGGACTTATTTTATACAATATGTTACTATAGTAGTCACATCATTTATAATTTACTGTTTAATGCACTATAGTGGAAAAGGTGTTTTTTATATATATATATATATATATATATATATATATATATAGTTTAATAGCCCCAGTTGCAACAGTTAAGGATTTGGAAATTTGGCAGGGAGCTTACCAGAAAATCACTCCCAGATTCCTGACCAATGCGGCCGTGGAAACAGTGGGTCTAAGGGAATAGAGGACACACCAGCACACATACTTTAACCACAAGATTCAGCAAATATTTAGTTTAAATGTTAAGGAATCTGCATAATCAACCATGACCTGATACAGCAAATTCAGTGTCTATACTTTCTTGTCTCTTTCGTTCTACAGAAGCCGGCGGGATGTCTGTGGTCATGACCAAGGCTGAGGGGGTCACTGTGTTCACTATGAGCTCTGACCCACAAAGTGTTCTTCCTCCACTGTGCCAAATCCTCAAAGGCCTTTGCTACAGCCCTGTGTGCTGCTCTCTGTCTCAGAACCTGAGGAGGGTCCAGAGACATTCCCAGTCACTACTGGGGGTGAGTTACGACCTTAGCTATGTCTTAAGTTGCTCTGTGGACTTCTTCTTTTTGTTTGCTACATTGCTTTTTTTTAAATGTACTACTTTTTCTTTCCCCACTCAATTCTGATTTCAACTTTAAGTAAACAATTTGTTTTGGTGAAATAATTCAAAAGCTGCACGTTTTTGTCGTGATCACATTTTTAAGAGTTTTTGTCGGTGAGGTTCTGTTTATATACCTGCATTTAGAAAACAACACCATGAAACTATGAGAGAAGGTGGTCCAATAACAGTAACAGTCTGTTCTGCACCTCACGGTTGCTCTCCAATGAACCAAAACAGTGTCACCTGGTAACTGCATTCGTACTGTACAGGTGTTGGTCGTTCATGCTGCGTTTCCTCCTCCGCAGGCTCTGCACATTATGGTTGGGTTGCTCAACATCGGCCTTGGAGTGATCCTTGTTTGCAGTCGCGGTGGCTCTTGGCAGCAGATGGATTTAACCGGGTTTCCTTTCTGGATCGGAGGATTGGTAAGCAACATAATGTTGTACTTGGTCGTTTGTGTCCAAACAAAATTTCTACAGAGTTTTCCTTAAAAAAATGTTCATCTGTACTCCCAAGTCTCTCCCAAAGTTATAGTGGTGACATAGACAACTTTAATTGGGTTGTTCAGTTGATACCAAGGAGATCCACTGAAGAGCTTTTCCAGATCAGAATCAGAAACAATGTTATGCTAAGTAGGTTTAAACATACAAGGATTTTGTTTTGGTGCATAACAGTATGCACAGTGTAGTAATCAAGAGGGTGTAAATGTGGCTGCAGTCTGCATTATATTGACCAGCGTATGGGCAAAAGTTGACAATAAGTAAAATGTACATAAAAAAGTGCACGTAGGGAGATCACCAGAGATTCCCGGAGCCAATCCTAAGGATCGGTATCAGATTCAAACCAAGCATATTTGAATTGTACTATGTTTTGACTATTTTACAGAATTCTGCCTGAACCCAAGTAGGGCTGGGCAACATATAAATATTATATGGATGTCGTGATATGAGAATAGATATCGTAATATGGCATAAATGTTGTCTTTTCCTGGTTTTACAGGCTACAATACAGTAAAGTGATGCCATTTTCTGAACTTACCAGACTGTCCTTGTTCGTCTAGTTTCTCTCTTGCTGCTCAAAATGCTGTTCACTCAGGCAAAGATAGAAAGGACACATATGGATTTTAGTATTTTTTGTGGAGGAGTGAATGTTTACCGTTCTTTTTGTCTTTTCTCTCTCTAGAGTATGTTGTTCGGCATCGTTGGCATTTTGTCTGAGAAGTGCCCCAGTCCGTGTCTGGTGAGTAGTTCATCCTTAAAAGTACTTTTTCATTTCATTGTCATCAAGTAGTCTTATTTTATTTCACAACAAATTTCCACCTTACAGTTACAGCATGTTATTTTCCACCTTATTCGGGGCGACCCGGCCCCGAATAAGGTGGAAAAGATAATGGGATGTCACATATCCCTTAAGAATACACACACCCACATTGCCTCATACAGTATGTATACAGTATGTATTTTCATCGGAGAGGGTACAATATAGGTTCAGTGTCTTGCTCCATGGCACTTTAGCCGAGTAGCAGATGATTCTCAAAATGATTACCAGCCACCCAGCTGTGGAGGATGAGATCATCTGTGGCTTTTTGAATTGCCTGGTGTGTTTTTGTGTCTCGTATTGCAGGTCTTCATCAATGTGATCCTGAATCTAGCAGGAGTGGCCTTCTCCATTACAGCCATCGTACTCTACAGCATCAATATATGCTACATAAAGCTGTGGTGGATGTGTAGCAAATATAATGACTATTACAATTCAGGCTATCGAGACACTACAGCTCCGACTGAATCTCCTGTGGAGAAGTACATGACGGAGGAATGCTTGGAGGGCAAGGAGCTGGCTCTGGTAAGTGTGGATAATGTCTTTCCAGAGTGGAAAATAGAGGGCTTTATTATTTTACGTTGTTATAAAAGTTACCATCAATGACCATTTACACACTTCTACCAAGTGTGAGAATGAGTTTATAACAGGCTTTAGGGAGAATAAACTAATGAATATGAACAAGTGATGAAGTAATTAATCCATCAACTAATCACCAATGATTATTTATTGAAGTAATTTATCAAATGAAAATGCCAAACATGAGCGGGTTTCAGCTTTTCTCTTTTTTTATGCGATTGTAAACTGTAAACATTTGAAGGAACTGGGCCAAGTAAGAACAAATGCGTTTGAATATTTTGAAGTTAACTCTGTTTTCTTGTGTCCCACCAGATGCTTTTGAGAAGCGTGAATGCTCTGCTGATTGTCCTGTCGGCCCTGGAGCTCTGCCTCGTCATCAGCTCTGCCGTCTTGGGGATCAAGGCTCTGAGGAGCAGAGAGAAGGGAGAAAAGGAGGTAAGAGTTTGCATAATCACATCTTAAACCAGGTTTTTTTTATCCAGGAAAGTTTGACTGAACACAAACACTCTTTTCTTTTCTTTTTTTTTTTTGCAACATTCCTGTTCTTACAAATTTGAGTATTTATGCAAATTTCTATTATCGGCTCTACTGATATTATTTTTCTCTTAATAGAAGATGGGTGACCCAGAACTCTACAATCCACTGCTGGAGGAAGTCACCAGTTATCCCACAGCCTAGATACCACTCTCTGCTTTGTGCTGTCTGTTATCAGGTACTATAATCCTGTGCATTTATAACATGCTGTAACATTCGTGATTCACACAACTTCAGCATGTACGGTCTCTGCCAAACTTCTGGGTCTATTACTATAAGGGTTGCTTAATTCAAATGTTTTGCACTTCACTTTTAGAGTATTTTTTCTAATAACATGCACTAAATTGTATATGCTGCTTTCCATTTCATGCTCTGTTGATGTTTTAAAAATCTGTTCCCTTTGATTATGATTTCCTGTCGAGTAATGTGCCTTACAGTCAGCTTGTTTGTAGGTGAAAGGGAGGTTCATGCACATGTGTGTGACGGACACACACATTGATGGACTGATGGGGTTTTTGTTTGCTATTTTACAATATGAAGCCATGAAATAGAAGTGATAATTATAAAGTGTGGGCTGAAGGAGATTATATATTTTGAAAAGGTAATTATATTCCCCCTTTTTGAAATTCTGTTTCTGTAATGAAAAATGAAAGTTAAATAAAATGATTACACTCTGCTCAGCGGTGTCAATCCAACTGATGTGAATATCCACCCAAAGCACTTACACTACATGTCATAATTCACCCATTCACACACTGATGGCAGGGCTTTGAGGAAGCCATCTGCCCATCAGGATTAAACGTATTCACATTCATACACAAAAGCAGTTCAGGAGCAAGTTGGGGTTCACTTCGATTGAAGGACGACCCGCTCCAGCTCTGAGCCACAGGCGCCTTGAGTAACACACTTCTCCGTTGCTGCTTTGCACCCAGAGATACATCGACGCCACTCGACAGGTGGGAAGACTAAAAGGCGCTTTACAAATACAAGTCCATTTACTACCATTTCCAGTCCAAAACGATAAAAGTGTTCTGGCAGCAACCACACTACTCAGTAGTGTGTGTACTGGTAGTTACGGCAAACTGTTTCCCCCCCACTGTGTCTGCTGGGGTTCAGCGATGCACTCAGCTGTGTTTTCACTTTCGGCCCCTACCGACTGGGGGCCAGTTAAGAGCAGTGAGTGAGGAGTCAGCCGCCACTCAATGGCAGTATAAATAAGAGTAAATAAATAATTACTCTTAACCAGCTACAGTGAGCCAAATAATGCCAAATTAGTTGGTTTTAATTAAAAGTCTTAGAATGATTCAGGGCCTTTTGGGTGTCAATTACTAGATGGAATTGTGGCATGGGTTAATTATAAAGATGACTTCATACTTAATATTTCGAAAGAGCTTTCTCGATATATATCTACCATCATATTAAACACACAGACGAAAAGCAAAGACGAAAGTGTCTTCAATAGCAGCACCTGTGTTATATTTATTAAAGTGCAGCATTGATTTCGTTGTTTTTTTTTTTACAACTGATGAAGAAGAATCCAACCCTGACCCACCGCACAGCCTTTTGGTTGTTGTAGTCCTATAAGCCACCTAATGTTCACATTTCTGTGAGCATTACACTCACATATCAGGGTACTTGTGTAATCTGACAGGGAATTTCCAGTTTGTCCTTTGTTAAATTGCACAATCACACCAGACCTGTTTTAACTTACTCATCCTGCTGAAAACATTTTTTAAAAGGCTGTTCTTAATACCGAATCTGTTACTCTGCAGTGCATCTGGATCCATTTTATACTAACTCAGTGAATTTAAATGGAAACAAAAATGTGTTTATTTGTTAATTTGGAGAAAATAAACTAGCAAAAAATATATTAGCAAATATTTTATTTGCTAATATATTGTTTTGCTAATATATATATATATATATATATATATATCTTTACATCTTTATATATAATATATATGGTAATATATTATATTACCATACAAAGATATATACTGTATATACTGTATATAATACTGTATATGTGTGTATATATGTATTTATATGTGTATGTGTGTATGTATACATATATATGTATATGTATATGTATATATAAAGCATACTTACCTTTATATCTATATATATGACATCTTTATATATAATACTGTATATAATGGTAATATGTTATATTAATATGTTATATTACCATACGCTTTTATTTTGAAGATCAACGAGTGACAGGAAGTACCAGTTTGTTATTCTGCTACGTAAACTACTGTCGCAGTTACTGCAGTCGCGAGCCAGGTGGGTTCTTTCACACAAAAACACATAATTCATAATAATTTGATCTTCACATTAAGACAACCTGTTTACTGAGCTCTTAACTGGATTTATTTTTGCTGATCATGTTTTTCGTTCTGCAAGAGAGAGAATAATTATGGAAAGAAATATGTCATTAACCTGATAGTCTATTTCATTAGATTTATTTAATTTTACCATTTTGAACACTTTTCATGTGTTTGTGTTGTTGGTTGATATTTTAAACCCCGATGCCTTATTTTTGTAAAAGCTGTTCCTACTCCTTTTTTACTTTTTATTCTTCATCCTTTTTGTTTTGCTTTCGGAAAAACTAGGAAGTGCAGCACGAGTCTTATTTTCAACTCGCTGTGCACCCTTTAAAACGCGTCAAATTATTTCAAATACATGCTGGTTGATGTCACTGTAAATTATTTTCAGTGATCAAGTTTCACTGGTTTTCATTTACCGTAATCCCAACTCCTCAGGGGAGGGACTTCTGCATAAGACTGAAAAAAACAAAAACATTTTGCTTTAGCAACTGAAACAGCTAGACCATATGTAGAGTTTATTAATTATGAAGATAATTAGAAATGTTAAAAGAACAATAAAATGTATAATCTAAGGTTATAACTGATGATTAATCTGTTGATTATATTCTTGGTTAATAGATAAATTGTTTAACATTTTTCACTATTTTCTGATATTTTATAGACCAATAAAATGTTCACAGAACCCAGGCCTGTACCCATCAGGCCCGTTCAGTAATCCATCCATGTTACTAAAAAGCCAACTACCATTCCCCTACTGCCCACCTTCTTTGAGGGGGGCACCTGGCCACTGCTTTGGCCCTGTCCCTGTTCATGGGGTACTTTATTGATTTAGTGACTTACTGTTTAATTTTGAGATTTCAAGATGGAAAGTTCTTCTCAGTTTCTAGTTAAAGTTTCCGTGATGTATGTTTTCATTACTTGAATTCTTCGATCTATCTCTTTGAATGTCCCTACGGTGGTTGTTTTGTGATGTATGTGTGAGTGAGCTGCCCCAACTCTGCCAATTCCCCCCAATGGGTTTAATAACTACTCCATCTATCCAGCCGTCCATCCAAAAATCTCCATGTCATGTTACAGGTGTGAGAGATGTCCATCACTGTTGTCAGAGACAAGGAAGTGACTGTGTTCACAGTGATGACTGACAGTAAGAGCATGTTACCACCTCTGTGTCAAATCCTCAAGACTCTTTGCTGCAGACCGATGTGGTCCTCAGGGTACAAGGTGCTGATGCAGAGCAATGCAATTTCAGCTCTTGGGGTGAGAGAAACTGTTCATTAAAAGTGTATTCATGTGCAGTATTAAGTGGTGGTCTTAAGATGTTCAGGTATAAAACAAAGAGATTTAAATGTTCTGAATCTTTTACAGACTATACAGATCATGGTGGGTCTGTTCAACATCGGACTTGGACCAGGACGAACAAGCCTTCATCCTGAGGATTTTGCCCATTTGGGAGCTGCATACTGGCTGGGCGGCATGGTGAAATATTATTTTTGCATTGGGAGAATATTTTACTTATTACTATTGAGTGCAAAAGCAGGGGGTTTGTTGATGTTTTTGTCATGCCGTATGAAACAGACACAATTACCAGAACTTTAAAATGCATTTAAATGATCCATCGGATGATTTTCTAAAAGGAAAACGACATTTACCGATTCTAAAGAATGTCTTTGAAGAATAACTCATGGAAATATCACTGGCTTCTTTTTCTTATGTCCTCTCTTCAGTTCATCGTAGCTGGGATCGTGTCTCTTCTTGCCAACCGGTTCCCCTCTCCTTGCTTGGTAAGTAAAGACTAAAGGCCCTTTCAGACATGCACCTCTTGTCCTGGCTCTCTTACTGAAGCGTTTGGTGCTGCTGGTCTGGCTGGGGGGGTCGGAAGATAACGAGAGCAGTGATCATCTCAAGGTCAGCTGCAGAAGTTCTCTGCATTAGTTCATCTGCATGTGCCTGTCAATAAGTAACCTCATTTTCTCCTCGCTGTCAGGTTAAAACATTTAAAATAACGTTATAAAACAGCGTTATTCTGACTATAAGTCTCTTCTTATATTTTCATTTTTTATTCTGTCGGATATTATGAAACAGGAAGCAGATCTTTGCTCATGAATAACATTTCAATTATGAAATTGAAGAATGTATTTGTTGCAATCATTACATTTTTAACTCCCTCTTGTGCACCCGGCGCCAAATCAATAAATGAATAAATAAATGTCCACTCCTGTCTGTATGAAACTAAGAATTTAAAGAAAAGAAGAAAAGAAAAGTGTAAAAACGGACACTGTGAAGTCAGAATAATGACGTATTCTTTCCTCTCAGGTGGGCTTTGCTGTGTTGGTGAACATAGTTGGATCTATCTTCGCCATTGTTGGCATTGTGCTGTATGGCACAGACATTAAAGATGTCTCTGCCGCCAGGTTTTGTGACGGGTTCAATGCTCATCGTTCTGGTGACAACTGCAAATATGTGCAATACTTTTTCCAGGTAAGCATACTTTTAAAGGATAAAGCTGTTTTTATGCTGTATTTTTGTGATTGTCAACACACCCTATGAAAAGGAAAATAACCAATAATGTTAGTTTAGTCCGTCTCTCAGCACTTTCCAACTTCTTTACTCTGTCTGTGGCTCTCAGCTCCAAGCTCAGTCGTTTCTACTGAAGTCATAAATCATTAAAAACTTCCTACATATACATCGTTTTTTCTTTTTTTTTTAAAGGCTCCACAATTTCCTTAAGCAGCTGGGCAATGTAGTCTTTAGCAATTGTTACTCAGAGGAGTTAATAGAGCCTTTGTTGGGACTATTTTTAGCTGTTTAAAAAAAAAAAATATAATCTGTGGAAAAGAATGGAACTCAGAGGAATTTGAAGTCAATATTTATTGTTGTCCTTTAATGGGATTTATTGACAATGACAAAAATATTGAATTTTACAGCCTTTAATGTCAAACTTGAAAACACAATCATAGAGTATCGAGCATTCTGTGGAGTCTTGACCGTGTAATTCCAAACTGCAGGGATCTGTATGCATTGATTGTACCTGGTAAATCATTAACATTCACATTTAAAGTTTAGTTTAAAATATCTGCAAATCAAACTGAATTACTTCTTTTTCTTTCTTTCTTGTCATGTATCAGCGTTTGATGACAGCCATGGACATTACTATGATCATCCTGACTGTCCTCCAGCTGTGTGTCTGCGTCAACTTCACTGCTCTGGGCATCAAAGCTCTCTTCAACACGAGGAAGGAAGAGGTACGAACACACCCGAGCACAATCCAAGTCAATTAGTGATCAATAGTACTAGTAGTACTATTCCTAGTAGCTGTAGGAAATCCAACATCAGCGTTAGTAATGGAAGTAGCAGGTGTACAGTATGTGTTTAGATCAGTGAGTGTAGTTTACAACATGAGTAACACTATAAAGTTGACTTTCCTGAACTTTGTCATGTTGTCACTTTATGAAAGTTTACTTTGTTGTGTGTCAGCAGGGAGGCAGAGATGATGACATCTACCAGCCAGTGTTGAAGGAAGTCCTCATGACCAGTCCTGGTGCTTAACATCTATTAATCATGCATCCAATCACAAGATGATGATGTAGGAGTATGATAAGCAACACATCATTGTAATCATTCCATATATCGGCTTAAAAAATCAAAACTGCTTTTTTCTAATCACAAATACACTACAATTATATGCTGAAGAGAATAGTCCGTCTGTAGTCTGGCACATTGTGAATGGTAATTTTAATGTTGTGGGTAATGTTTTAAAATATATACTGTTTTTAATAACTTCTGGATTAAGTTTTAAAGTAAACTTTCTTGAATAAATGTAAAAATGGTGACAAAGTTTTTGAGTTTTTCAAATTTCAAGAATGACATTCCATTCACTTCATCGGGGAGCCAGACATCTCAAACTAAATTATCAGCATAGATGCCAATGCATTGATTATGTGTATCCCCCTATAATGTTTTCTGGGAAAGTAGTAACTTCTCCATATTCACCAAGGGTGTTACAGTAAACACAATCTGAAGTATACACAAAATAAAACACTAGATGGCACAGCAGAGACACTGCATTATAGGGACGGGATATGTTTTGGGGCAGACCGAAAAATCAGTCTGGAGGAATTTGTATCCCCCTGTAAATTTTGCTGAAGATGTTACAAATATGCCACAGGAAAATTTGCATATTGAAATGGAAATTAAATTCAGGTCCTTTCAGTCATTTGAATAACTTTTTTTTACAATTTTATACGAGTTTTATACAAATTGTATAAGAATGTAAAAATGCTGAAGACTGTCCACAGAATTTGAAAGTGGATAAAGTTTGAATTTTCAAATGTAGGTTTCCTGTGAGCCTGCCAAAAGAAATTCCATTCACTTCAATTGTATTTGGGAGGAAGTTATCGATAAATCTCTGCAAATATAACCCGAACCATCTGCATGCCTGGATACATGCTTTGAATGATCAGAAGACTAAAGGAGCTATACAAATACAACTCCATTTACCATTTACCATACCTGTAGGGGTACGTAGGAAATACAAAAATTGATGGCAAACATTTTTGTATTCCTTTATTTAGCCTAGTCTCATTGATGTGAATGTGATGCACATAATAATAGATTTGAATCAACACCTAATTATAACCTTTGTGATTGTGTGCTGTATTGTAGGACTGTAATGACATTGTTTGCCACTAGGTGGTGTCCATTCTCTTAAATACACCCACACACTCTTGTACATTACCTGCTGTGGTGTTCCTTCAGTTGTGCATGTACACTTTTTCTTCTTTTGAGAAGGGAGCAAGCTCTACTTTATCCAATACTGATATTAGCTTCATTCATTTTGATGGTATAGGTTTTAATCACTGAAAAGGAATATTGAATGATGGCTAAATGTTAAATATCAATGCAGTATTTGCGACAAATACTTTTTTTCTTAACATATATTCAGCATTCAAACTTTGGTCATAAGCTTGGGGTAAAATGAGAGGAATGTTGGAGGAGACAAAGCATGACACTTAATTAAAGACACATATTTTAATGTCAAAAAGTGTGGGAAAAACGAAAAGAATGCTGGATAATGGTGTCTGTCTTATCCTTACAAAAGAAAACAAAAACGGAATTATTTAAACTATTAGTTTGTTATGTCGGAGATAAGGATAGAGTGTGTCTGCAGATCAAGTGACGGTCTTGCATATGATCTTTCTTCAACCAGTTCTCATTTCTTAATTAAATTAATTCTATTACACTTATTTGTATTTCTCACCATTTTTCTTAGGCCATCAAACAACACTACCGAATTATTGCTTTGGGTTCCAGATTGAGCTTTAATCTGGTTTGAAATGCATTATTTCTGATGGAAATCTGATATTAATAAAGTTTTTCTGAACTCATTCAAAGCTTCACTGACAATGTAAGTCAATATGAGGTTTGATATGGCTTGTATTGCAATAGATAAAATCAGATACATTGATTATCTAACTACTACTATTATCTAATCTACTCTTTAATCACCCCTAAATACATCCAACTAACAAACCAAGCGAGGTGATTTAATTTGATTTGATATTTAAAGATGCAGTTCCTGATTTTGTGAAGCACTCGTACATTAAAAACTATGTGTAGTTTTAAAATATTGCAACTGAGTTGAGAGGAAATTGTGAATTCTGGGAAGCTATTGGGCAAAACCGGAGTTTTCTTGTTATAAACTTCAGACTCTCAAACACGTGGAGATGATGGAGGCACCTGTCCTATTTTTGTGCGTCTATAGATTCTGTTCTCATTTAACTTACAGCAGGTGCCTCGAATGTACTTGTTGATTCATGTTGAATTCCTGTTGCACAATACTTACAAACACACAGAGCGGCTTAAGGCAGAGCCACAGGTATGTCTGTGTTTTTCATGTATTATCAATCCTGAATGATGAGGTGTAAGATGTCTGCGTAACCTGTGTTTAAAGGCACAGCTCTCGGGGCCAAAGTCAAAACACAGGATTGGAGGCCAATGCTTTCACAAATTAGCAGTAAAATATATACTGAGCACCCTTATTATTACCACTGAGTTAACCTTGAGCCCTTAAACCCCCACTTCCCTACTTAAAAGTGCATGTGAAGTTCATGTTTTCATACTTGGAATATTATATTTACATGTGAAATATCACACAGTATTTCACATATGAACTGTCCAAATACCTCACATGCATATAGTATGTGAATTCATCGGTAAAGCTGTTTCACATTAGCTCATGCATGTCAAATTATCTTACATTTCACTTGTAAAATATCCGAAAATCACAAGCACCAATATGATGTGATGTGATGTGTTTATCACGTTTAATAAATGCTTATGTGACTTTTTAATACGTGAAATGATGATCAACATGTGATAGACGTGTCATATGTCCTTCACATGCGATGCATTAATGTGTTTAAAAAATATATTTTTAAAGGTTTTCCTGTAAAAGAAAGCCTTGCTCTTAGTCACACTTATCTAGATACATAAAAAAAGGTTTTTAAATACTGATTAAGTGACCAGAGTAACATTGTTTTACTGTTGGCCACAGATATACTGCTCCGCAATTTGTGACTCTATTCTTGGCTGTAGTCACAGTGTCTTTTTTCTAACCTTTTGGTTTGCTGCGTAGTGGGAGAGAAACCAGTCAAGAGTTATTCTAAATACTGAAGAGGTGAAGATGATGACTGAAGGATTTGCATAGTTTGTGCTGGTGTCATTGTTTGTTATTATATTGCCAAACAGACATTAGAGTCACTGCTCAAACAATGTTTGAAAGAAAAGCGATCTGAACGAAACCTCAGGTTACATTTTGAAGACTAGACCAGACCTAACTGTGATATTCCTGTAAAGCTCCATAGTAGAGGATTTTCTCTGACACAGTCAGAATGCAGTGCCACATAAGCTTGCTGGGTCATGCCCAGACGTTGGTATGTGAGGAGGGAGGACAGAGGATCACAGTAACAAGGGTGAGGAAGGGGTCCAAAATGTGCCGAGTGAAAACATGGTGTTTGAGGATGGAGATTATACGTCAAGAAGTTATATATATATATATATATATTTTATCCCACAAATTCTATATGGCTCTCAGTTTACTTAATGCAGAAGTCATAATATTTTCATTAAACTAGTGACACCAACTTTAAAACTGAATGAATCGTTTTTGGCCACATGCAGCGCAGCAAACTGTAAATAAAGCTTTGACATATTATCAACCAAAAACCCAAACTGTTGATCAACTGGTAAAATACATTGAGTAGAGCAGCTTTAACAGAGCCAATTTAAAAAAAATCAATGGAAAAATAAACTGATTATTGGTATCTTGTGGTCCAGCGAGGTCATAAACATATTAGTAACTGGCTAAAAATGTCTTAATCAGCATTCTGTTGTCCTTAGCTCCACCCTTTTATGTCACTTCTGGTTGCAAAAAAACAAGATGGCGACAGCCAAAAACCAAGATGGCGACAGCCAAAATTCAGAGCTCAAGGCTTCGAAATGGCAGTCCACAAACCAATGATGTCACGGTGGCTACATTCACTTTTATGTATACAGTCTATGGATAGACACCAAACATGTTTGTTTCCTAATCTTAAAATAAGATTTCATCTTAGCCCTGAGCAGACGATGCCTCACAGAAAACTGGCCCCTCCCACGCACCATCTGACCTGAACCATCCGATTCAAATATGTGACCACTTTTTTTTTTTTTTTCTTCCCAAATGACTGCTATTCCTATTGAGACTGAATTAAGGCAAAGTTGAGGATTACGCTGCGGTGGCGGTCAGCAGCACAATGTATTCCTGCAGAGCGGCGAATCTTTTCGTTGCCACGTGATGTTTTTCTGCGTTCCTGAGGTCAACTGACGGGCCGGGCTCAATGCAGGGCTGTGTGGCCAAACCATATTCATGGTAGAGTCATTCTGGTCTGATTAAAGGCATCACTTCCCCTATTCCAATGTTTTGTGTCAGCAGCCCCTTTAACCCACCTGGGCGTAGACAGAAACCGGCCTGAAGCAGCCTTTCAGAGGGAGAACAGATCAGGACCATGTCAAAGTCTTGGTGTGTCCGTTATTCTCCTCATGGATCCCATCGACATTAATATTCCGCAAGGTTATGTTTATGGTCAAGGTGTAAAACTTTACCCTTTTGGTTCGCTCGTTGTTTTTGGCCGCAGCAGACGGCTGTACACTACCTGCTCATTACCAAACAGCAGACAGTCACAGTTAGCTGCTAGCGGGTGAACATAGTGGAGCAGGAGGCGGTGGAGACCAAAAATAGAGCTAAAAGAGAGTGAATTCTGGACTTGTGTTCATCAGATGGCCGTAAACGCGACTCCAAAATAATGATAATGTTGTTCTTCATCTGCTGTAAATGATCAATTGTTTGCTAAAACGTTTGTCACATCAACTTAAACGATGATCTCGTGTCCATTTTCCCTAAATGCCCAAAATATTACTGCAGGTTAGAAATATATCCAGACAATTCTAAAAGGTCTTCCCATATTACAGATGTTGATCATTTTCAGACTTGTTTTCTGTAGGTTTTTATTTTTCTCACAGTTGCTGATAAAGCATTTTGTGGGCCTCAGCTTACTGAGCATTGACGTAACTCGGTCACTTGCCAGTGGAAATTTGGAAAGCACTTGTAAGAGATTTGCTTCATTAAGAAGCAAAGGGAAAGTTCTAAATTCTTTCTGTCTTAGTCTTGTTCCATTGGCAAACAGGTATCCAGACAACAAGGCCTGTCTCCTCTGCAAGCCAGATTTGATAATTTGAGTATTTACATCAAAAGACTGTCTGAGCTCCCCACATTTTGGACAAAGTTCCTGCGGTTATAAAAGAATTCCTTATATATCTTATGCCGAACAAAATCCTATCTCTCATCTCGGTTCATATACGTCATTGTCCATGCTATTGAACATTTTATTGTTGTGCACCTATTTCAGGGTTTGCCTGTCTGTCTCTTTACAGTCTGTTGAGACTTTTTTGGGACTTACTGTATAAATAAATTGAATGACCTTGTGTAGGAGTAGATGCAGATATACAGAGAATATGTGGCACTACACCACAGGTTTCCAACCTTTTTGGTTTAACACGTTTGATTCATAAACTAGTCAAAGTCATCTCGCAACCCCTAGTTCCCCGATTCAGGTTACATATTTCTATGAGCTGAGAGCATTTCAAGAAAAGAGTGAGTTTCACCTTCTGAGCTCATTTTAAAATGTTCTAGAGTCCTGAAGAAGTGGAACTACACAGTATTTCACAAGAAAAGAGACAAGACCATCCTGTTCTCTTCTCTTCTTTGCTACCTTGTCTTGTGAGCCCTCAGATTGATCTCAGGAGCTGTTGGGTGATGCAGACCACCAGGGTGGGGTTGTTAAAACTGTAATCTAGGAGACAAAACATTTACCTCAAAACTTAACTGAGAACGCTGTTTAGTCGTATGGGAATGTAATTTCGTAGGAGACAGGGTTGGTTTGACGTGTTGTCTCTCGTGAACACGAGATATCTTTATCCTGAAATACAATACTAGTTTCCTCTTTCGTTGTAAATTTGATTGCCTTTTTTCAGCCTGTGTTCACTCTGTTGGACTTTACAGAGGTTTAAATGATCAGATTCCCTTACAGGTAGCAGGTGCTTGTGGTTTTAGAGCGGCAGTATGTCTACTTTGATCAAAAAAGTCAACAAAGTAAAATCTAAATATGACATCTTTGAATCTAGGTTCATCCATGTTGATCCACAGCATTTAGTGACTTGTCTTTACTCTTTTACTCAGAAAATACTTCAGTTTAAATGTAGAATCCAAGAAAACGCAGTAAATATACATCTTTTCTTTGCACTTGTTCATTTTTGTTCAGGCACTTGAGTCTTTATATGCCAAAGATAGAAAAGCCACAGCCACATAATTATAGAACACTATGGGTGTTTCCAAACTAGCTAACCAGAATATCCTTTTTCTCTTCTCTCTCTCTCTTTTTTTTTTAACCTAAGATGTAAGATTTCTCCACAGAGCAGTTGGGTGTTACATCCTTTCGCTCTATGACACCTCAGTGGAGTGGAATCTGATGTGGTTCAGTACATTTAGCTTTCAACAGTCGACGTATTAAAGGAAAAGCTTTTTAGTGTAATGCATAAAAAGCCCACGCATTTGGGTAAGAAGAGTAACCACAAATATTAGCAACCAGATATGTTGTTATTGTTATTATTTAAAAAAATAAATTCATGATTAACACTATCATTATTATTATTATTAATGCCACTGCAGTTGAGCAGTTTCATGGGTCTTGTTTTACTTATAGCAGGTATTATTCCCACCACAAAACCATGACCAATTCCCCCCCCC